CAGGAAAATGTTGAATAGAGCATCCAATAATGACTCAGAAAATCAGCAAAATAAAATAGACAATTATTCACCAAAGTTAATATTACAAAATGGTTTTCCCAGCTCGGCCACAAATAATGTCTTGCAGCATTTAGGGGAAATTATTTGACTATATTTATTATCCTGTTGACCAATGTTACACAATACTAGCCACCATACTTTTCCTGTGTAATCTGTCTTCCTAGTTTGAACTGCAATTGCATGTAGAGAAATATCTATATTGCAGTTCAAACCATGGTTTCTTTGAACTATTATGACTAAGTATATAGCATATTGTCTTGCCTGAGCTTTTTCTGAGAATGGGATATATAAGTAAGCTGGATTGCTAAAGCTGGATGGAAAACAGTGTTTTCTATGTAAACAGAAGTGAAGGTAAGGATGTTGGTAGGCATTTTGTTCTTCCTTGGTTTTTCATTCATTTACCAAGTTATTTATTTAGCCAGTGGAGGACAGAGATGCTAACTTGCATTGTTGGCCTTACTGGGCTTATTCAAACAGTGGTGAAATATCCTGCCCTATCTATCAGATGAGTCAAGGCTACACTCAGTGACTCTCACATCAGACTGCCTTTCCACATAATATCAGGAACAGAGACTTTTGACCAAATATAAGCAATGTGGAAGGGTAAGCCAGTCCTTCTGGTTGTTTATTTAAAAGTGTTTTTTCACAAGGGGTGTTGCAAGTTTATTCTGACTTTTAAAGCAGCAAAGCAAACATAGAGTCTATCTCTGATATCTCAAATTGTAATCTGAGGCAGCAAAAAGTTGCAGCAGTAACTTCTTGTAAATGAAAACCTAATGTAATCACAATGTAAAGAAAGCAACCAAAACATTTTGTAAAGACTAACTCAGTTTTCAGTTTCCCCAGCTGAGTAAATATGGTAGCAGCATGTAGTACGGGGTTTAATCCAAATATATATTTTTAAATACAACTTGTTTGGAAAAAGATAGCTATTTTTATATTGCATATGTATTGGTTGACTCAGCCTTCCCTCCTTCCGAGGTGGGTAAAACAAGGACCCAGACTGTTGGGAACAATATGCGGACTCTGTAAATTACTTAGAGAGGGCTGTAAAGCACTATAAAGCGGTATATAAGTGGTATATCAATCTAAATGCTACTGCCACACACATATATAAATCAACAGCCAGCTTTAAAAAACAGATTGGAATTATCAAATTAGCTCTTAGTCCCTTTGCTATTAGAAACTCAATATCAACGTATTTAATGAAATTTATTCCAAGGAAAATCTTAAAATCCATTAAGCAAAAATGATTAGGTATGCGACCTTTTGTCATTGTTGACAACCAACCTAGTTTCCTTAGCATTTTGTACGTCATCCCATATTTTGGTTATTGGCATGATATCTGCCAGAAATTTAGTTTATTGTAAAATGCATGCAATAGCATCATTGTGCAAATTCTACCCTTATATATTTGCAGTTTTGCCCATTGCATCTTACAAATTTTCCCCCATAGATGCCTAGTTATTTGCAGATAATAATTTCATCAACAAAAGCACATTAGTCCTTTATTAGGAAACAAGCATATTCAAATTCAAATATTGATATATTCAACAAATCTTGAGATTTAAAGTATACATGGTTATAGACTTAATTGTTCCAAACATAGTAGCCTCTAGAAGTATTGAACTGCAACCTTCAACCAAACTAAATCTTTCATCAGTTTGGATTTTGGCATTTTTTTCCATTTGGGTAGAAAAAAATTAGCAGCCCTATCTTTTGATATTGATCTAATTGCTTTATGGTACTTTGTTGTGAAACAAGCTAAACTACACACTCTTCTGTTCAGAATCTGTAATGGCATTTTCTGTTCCAAAATATAACATGAAGTCAGAGGATGAAAGTTGTGCAAAGATGTATATAACTCTGAAATACTATTAAAACTTCATAATGCTATAAATACATTTTTGGTATCTGAATATCTGGATTGCACAGTAGACTGCTTTTTTTTTAAAAAAAAATCACACTCTATTAAACCTTTTCTTAAAAATACTAGCAACCTGTCTCAAGTGCTTTTCGTTTTTCCACAGGCTACTTCAGCATTTTTATCCAAAGTCTAACATTGGTTGATCTTAACAGGTGTAAGCATTTATTTTGTAGCGACTTCAATTCTATAATTTCTCTTAATACTTCTCCAATTCTGGATGCAGCCTGGCCCAAAGATAACCCAGACTTTCTTTAAGAACCAACCGTCTCGGGAATCTTCTACTAAGCAAAACTTGTTGCACACACAAATGAGAGCTTATTAGGGTATCCCAAATCATGCCAACACACTTTTCTGCTTAAAGACTGGAGGAGTGACTGCAAAGAAGAGCTTGGTGGAGACCTTTATTACTATATGAAACATTACGATCAGATTAGAGCTGGAAGGGACATTGGAGGTCTTTTAGTCTGGCCCCTTGTTCAACCAGGAGATCCGAAACCTTTATTTATTTGTTTGATTTGTCAATTGTTTACAAGATAATAAGTATAAGTGTATACATAGTTATGAATACATGAAATGGTACATATAAGAAAAATAAAACGAAACAATAGGACAGGGACGGTAGGCATGTTGGTGCGCTTATGCACGCTCCCTACAGACCTCTTAGGAAAGGGGTGAGGTCAATAGTAGACAGTCTAAGGTTAAAGTTTTTGGGGTTTGGGGACAAGTGACTGTCCGGTCTCTTCTTAAAAACAGATCCACATCCCTTCTGCCAAAATTTGGTGCACCCCTACAAAATATCTTCAGAGATTTGAAAAACCCTGATACAAAACTGTATGTGGACAGATTTTAGTTAACATACTTTTAAGTTTTCTGGTTTTGTTTTGTTTTTAAATTAGCACCAAAACTAGTTTTAACTTTTAACTAACCCTTTTTTTCTTTTTGGTTTTAAAGGAAACTTAAATTTATGCGGACATGTTTTAGTTAACATACTTCTAAGTTTTCCAGTTTGTTTGTTTTTTTAATTAGTACCAAACTAGTTTTAACTTTTAACTAACCCTTTTTTTTTTCTTTTTGGTTTTAAAGGAAACTTAAATTTATGCGGACATGTTTTAGTTAACATACTTCTAAGTTTTCTGGTTTGGTTTTTTTTTAATTAGCACCAAAACCAGTTTTAACTTTTAACTAACCCTTGTTTTTTTCTTTTTGGCTTTAAAGGAAACTTAAATTTAGAATGTTCTGATTAAAAAAAACAAAACCCTTTTTTGTTCTTTTGAACCAAATCCGGAACTGGAGGGACAGAGCAAGAAAGGGGATCTCGCGATCCCCTTTTTCTCCGTTTTGTAAGCGACCTGCCGACTTGAAAAGAGCGCTAAGCTCGCACTCCTCCAGGCAAGGAACCTTGGGAGTAGATTCCCGCACGTTTGAACTGTTTAAATTAAGCGAAATGTATCGTATAATGTTCGTGTATAGCTTCTTCCGTCTTAATTATCGTATATTATTCATTTTATAGCTTCTTCCATGGCGGCGGCTGATGCCAACAAGACGAACTCTCGCACCTACTGACACCCCCCACCCCCCCCATCCGAAGCCATCCGGACTCCATTTGTGCCGCGCATCCGACGGCGGGCTTTTGCGCATGCTCCAGGACGCGAGCGGAGACGTCACTTCCGTCGCGCCGGTGACCGTTGCCGGAAGCGCCTGTTGGTAACGGGCCTGGTTGTGGTGGAGTTACGGATTTGTGCTTTTCCGTTAAGAGGAGGAGGAGGAGGAGGAGGAGGAAGGGGGGCGGGTGGGAAGGAATCCGTGGCCGAAAACGGGCGGCTTTTTAACCGAGGCCGGCTGCCATCATGGTGGAGGTAAGAAAGAAAGAAAGCGCTTTCCTTCCGACCCTTTTTTCGGCTTTTATTCGGAAGGGCACCGAAGCGAGCCGTCAGAACTGCAGAGGGTGGGGGAAAAAAGTCTTACCAATACGTTACTATCGCCTCTCTTGAGGGTCTTCCTGTCGGTGTTACGTAGGAGAGAAGAATGGCTGAGAATTTGATCCCTTCAGAAACAGAAACAGATAATCGGAGT